TTTTGACAAATGCATAATGCCATATATCTACCATTACAGTATCATACAAAATTGATTCAGTGCCCTAAAAATCCTCTGTGCTCCACCTACCTCCCCCACCCCTCAAGCCCCTGGTAACCACGGGGACCCTGATCTTTTTTACTGTCCCTATAGTTTTGCCTTTTCCAGAATGTCATATAGTTGGAATCAGACAGTATGCAGCCTTTTCAGACTCCCTTCTTTCACTAAGCAACATGCATTTAAAGTTCCTCTAAAGTAGGAGATAGATGGGCCCCTGGGCTGGACAGCTGGGGTTTGTCAAGTGGAGTAACACTGAAGCTCTGTTCTCACCCAGACGCTCCAAGGACAAAGCTAGTGGCAGAAGCTGAGCTCTGCTGAAGTAAAGAGATAAGATAACCACTCCTGAGGTCAAGGAAAACTTCCTGTCTGGACATGTGCAGGAAGGCTCCTTGGGGGTCAAAAAGGGAGGGGGCACCACCCCATAATAAGTGTGGACATATACCCACAGGCCTCTGCGGTGGAATCCATCTTAGCAAAAAGTTGCACACGCAGCTTGGGGAGGGTCCTAGGACCAGCCATGTGTGAAAAAAGAAACGAGATAATTGGCCAAAGGTAAACAAAGACCAGGAAGAACTGTCCTATATAAGTGATTTAAATCACCTCTTTACTCCACTCCTCCCCATTAGAAAGGATGCCCACACCCTTTCTCTCTGGGCATGTATTTCTGCCTAGCTTCGACTTAAATAAATAAACTGTTTCTCTGTGTGCTCTCCCATAGTGCTGTGTCTCTAATAGTAAACTTTGTACCTGTTTTTTACAGTTTTTGCCTCCTTGAAACATTCTTGCTCTCAAATGGGGGAAAGAGCCAGGGCCACTTTGCTTCTAGCCTCTAGCCCCTGGTGCTCTGGCGGCTAGGATTCCTGGTTTTCATCTGGGCTACGCAAGTTCAATTCCTGGGCAGGGAACTAAGACCTCACTGCTGTCTCTCCGAGATCACCTCCATATCTTCTAATGGCTTGATAACTCATTTCTTTTTCTTTTTTTAATAGTAGGTTGAATATATAATTTTTTAAAATTTATTTATATTTATTCATTTATTTGGTTGCGCCAGGTCTTAGTTGCGGCTCGCCGGCTCCTTAGTTGTGTCATGCGAACTCTTAGTTGCTACATGCATGTGGGATCTAGTTCCCTGAGCAGGGATTGAATCCACGCCCCCTGCACTGGGAGTACGGAGTCTTAACCACTCCACCACCAGGGAAGTCCCCGATAGCTCATTTCTTTTTACTGCCGGATACTATTCGTTGTATGGCTATGCCACTGTGTGTCTATCCATTCACCTTTTGAAGGACATCTGGTTGCTTCCAGCATTTGGCAATTATGAATAAAACTGCTGCAAATATTCATGTGCAGGTTTTTGTGTGGACATGAATTTTCAGCTCATTTGGGTAAATAGCTGGAAGTCTGATTGCTGGATCCAACAGTAAGACACTATGTTTAGCTTTGTAAGAAATTGCCCAACTGGGAATTCCCTGGTGGTCCAGTGGCTAAGACTCCTTGCTCCCAATGCAGGGAGCCCGGGTTCAATTCCTGGTCAGGGAACTAGAGCCCACGTGCTGCAACTAAGAGTTCGCATGCTGCAACTAAAAGATCCCACACGTGGCAACGAAGATCCTATGTGCCGTGACTAACACCCGGCGCAGCCAAATAAATAAATAAATAAATAAATAAGAAATTGCCAAACTGTCTTCCAAAGTGGTTATACCAGTTTGCATTCCTACCAGCAAGGAATGAGATACACTTTCTTTTTAAAATAATAAATTTGAGTCAATATTCATTCAATCAACAAATATTTATCAAGCAGATCCTATTTTGAGGCTGGAACTCCCTGTGCTAACCGCCAGGGACACAATGGTAGGGGAAGC